TTCAGGCTATGAACCAGCTTGGTTTCAGCCCCTCATTCTTCCCCACTAGTTGGGGGCACAAGACTCAAATAGGGGAAGAAAAGAAGAACTGAGGAAGGGGAGGAGAGGAGAGGGAGTGAAGGGATAGAAATGCAGGGGCTCTGTTTTGAGGGAAGGTGAGCAAGAAGGGCAAGCATGAGGGTACAGCAGACCAAGCGTTAGGATGGGGCCTGGAGACACTTGGCCTTGACTGGGTAGGAAAAATATCTAGTGAATGATGCAAGAACTGATTCAAACCCTCCTTTCCCAATTCAACTCTAGTTGTGTGTGTGTGTGTGTGTGTGTGTGTGTGTGTGTGTGTGTTGGGATGGATGCTCTCTGACCTGTTCCACATCCATGCCTCCGCCCATGTTTGAGTCCTCTAGGTTGAACCCAAACTGGAAGCTGGTATTGGCAGCTGGGTAGGCAATGACCCAGGTGGTTGGGACAGGGATTCATGGGATAGTGGTGATGGTAACCCTCCTCCACCCCACCTGCCACTGGGTCACCTAAGGCCCACTGAGTCCTCAGACCTAAGCTCTCCTCCTCTGCTTAGCTCATCTAGGGCTTAGCTTGAGCAGAGAGAGGACTAGAGAACATTAGGGGTCCCAGCACAGGGAAGGAACAACTCCACCTGGTTGTTTGCAAGTTTTACTCCAAGACTGGTGTACACCTGCCATCCGAGGCTCTACCTTCCCGTCCCCACATCCCATCCCTGATGCAGGCTTCATCACTCCCCTCGTGCCTCATCTCCACCCACAACCCCATTCTCTCAAGAGCCCACTCTCCATTATCCACACCTAAGTCCCAGGGCTTCCTCACTACCTTCCAAACATCATCGCTCAGCCACTCAGTGAGTCCCCCCTCCCCCCAACATGGCCCTCAGAGAATCCACAGCCTCCCAAACTGCATTACCACTTACCCCTGGCCCATCGTCCTTCCTCGGGATACCCTCTGAACTGAGAAGATAATTGAGACTTGATCTTGGTTAACATTTCAGCATCCCAGTGAACCAAATTTCACAGCTACTCCCCCGTGAGAATGGATCTAATCGTTCTGAGGGCTGGGGAAATACAAGCATGAAGCCAGCCTGTGTCTCCAGCCTCTTTCCCACTGTCCTCAGGACAGAGTACTGGGTGTCGAGCCTGTGTTTCTGGGTAAGACCTTTCTAATCTACAGGCCCAGAAGGGGAGTGTAAGCCCATCTACACCTCACACGAGGAGCCCTAGTGCGACAGATGGATAGGTGCATGGCATCCTCTAGCCACACACGAAGTAGAAACCGTTACCATCAAGTTCGTTTCGATGGATCCACGGGGTTTTCTCAGCTCTAATCTTTATGAAAGCAGATTGGCAGCCTTTCGTTCACAGTCCAGCCGGGTGAGTCACCTGCAAACTAAGTCACTCAGCGACTTGGACACATATGACGACAGTGCCATGATTATTATTATGACACGGAGGTATCCCATAAAGACATGCTGTATTCAGTGCCATTGAATCCAGACCGACTCATAGCGACTCTGGGTGACAGAGCAGAACTGTCCTCTAGAATTTTCCCGATCATATTTCTTTTAATTTGGGGAGTTAATACCTATATCATATCATTCCATAGTTCAATTTCTGGTTATAATTTGTATGGAAGCAAACCATCTGGTCCTTCTCCCTTAGAGTTAATAAGTGGGTTTGAATTGCCAGCCTTTGGTTAGCAGTAGCTGAAGGCTTAACTATTTACGCCACTAAGACGCCTCACGTATACACGCACACGTGTTCTAAATGAACATTAATCAAAGCAAGCTTTCATTTAGATTTTGCCAGAGCTCAGTTAACAGTCACCAGTTCACAAGTGTCAAGGCCCTGACCCGGGTCTTAACACCCACAACCAAAAAGATCCACCAGGTGGCACTGTTTCGCCACTTCCCGGACTCCTCAGTGTCGCCAAAGGTGTCGCCTCCGTACGAAACCAGCGGAAGCCAGGTGCACGCCCCGGCGACCACGAGGTGCCCACAGCCTGCGTGCTCAGCCTCCGGGGCCAGCTTCGACTTCGCGGCCTTCCCGGCCCGGCTTAGCCGGACGGCCTGCCCCTGGAGCCCCGGTTCCGCCCAGCTCTCCACTCGACCGCCGTTCACCACCGAGCCAAGGGTTGGGCCCAGGCGGGGCTACCTGTGTTAGGCCACGGCAGTCCAAGGGCACTTCTTCGGGGCCTCCGTAGGAACGAGCAGCCGGCCGCACCTGCCCCCACGCACAGCCCTGCATCCGATGGCCAGGCGGGTCCCTCTGAGGCAGGGCGGAGGCCGGCGGGGACCCGGGGCACAGGGGCTGGTCTCTTGCAGTTACCGCTGCGCGGCCAGGTCAGAGCGGAGGGAGCGCATTGGCTGCACCTGGAGGAAACGCCTTCAACTCCCGGCCCGGGCCGGCTCCCCTGGAGCCTTCCGTCGCGGGCCGACAGACGGCAGCCAGGCTGGAAAGCCCGAGGCCCCCTCCCCGCTCCCCAGGGGCCGGCGGGAAATTATTTATTAAAACGCCGCCCGCGCTCTCATTTATTTGCGGTGAATAATCCTCGGCATCTCGGCGCGTTTATTAAACCTTTCCCGTCCCCGCGCCCGCTTTACTTTAATAATAAATCGCGTGTCACTTTCCAGCGACGTTATTAAAGCCGGGCCGCTGAGCAGAGGCGGCGAGGGGGGTGGAGGGGGTCCGCAGCCGGGGTTCCTCCCATTCCTGCCTGTGGCGCCGGGCCGCGGAGGGGAAACGGAGGCCGCGGGATGGGGCCCAGGGGCCGCACCCGAGCACCCTACGCGTGGACACGCAATCCGAGGGTCGCAAACCGCGGGCCTGGGTGGGGGCTCGCGCGGAGCCCGGCTCTCTAAGCGGGCGCGGGGTCTCTGGGGCCGCCAGGGGGCGCCGGCGAGCCCAGCGGGCTGGAGCTGCGAGCTGCGAGCGGGAGGCCGGCTGGTAGCAGACACTGCAGGCACCGGGACCCACCAGCCCCCGGGTCCCCTGTTCTCGTGCACCCACCCCGACTGCGATTCCAAACATCACCCACAGGCCCCTCCCCACCCCGCCTCTGCTTCTGCTGTCGGTTTGGAATTTTCTCGAAGTATCCTTGGTCAGCCCGGCTGTTGTGTGCGGCTCCTGGCTCCAGGCCAGATTGGTGCCTGGGCTCCACAGTGAGGTCGGTCTTCTAGCCAGGCCTCAGCCGCAGGAGGAGTCGGTGGGGTCCCAGCCCAGCTTAGAGCCCTGGGGCGCGCCCCTCCCAGGAGGCCTGGCTCCCAGAGGAGGGCACTGGAGGACAAGCTCAGGCACCGCCGCCTCCCAGGCACAGCGATTCCTCTTGTGGTGGCGCCAGACTGGGGAATGGGGAGGAGGGAGCCAGCCATCCACACACAGGGACTTGGCCTTGCTGTCGCACATTGTCACGCACTCCTTCAATCATTCGATAAACATTCTCCCAACATGGCATCTCCTGAGTGGCCCTGGGCTAGGTAAGGAGAGTGTGGACAGAGACTGGGGACAACACATATTGCGGTGCTATGAGGGGCCCCGTCCCCCAGTCAGGCAGGCTAGATCCCAGTCCAGGCCGAGGAGGGCACAGGATTAAGGTGATTTTGTCGGGATTTGACTGGGGAATGAGTGCGTTCCTTGGTGGAAGCTGAAGAGGGGTAAACAGCCCATCAAAGTGCTGAAACTTCTCTCTCCCCCCTCCAGTTTTGTTTTCTTTCTTTCTGGCATTGGGACACCACCCTGGGGAAGAACCAGCTGAGGTAAACAGAGGGCGCTTCTGCCTCTACACCCCCTCAGCCAGATGGCTCCACCGTCCAGGGTAAACTGCAAGCACAGGCAAGGCGTATCTCTACAGCTGGCAGGCATGTGTTACACAACAAGACCTGCAGCTTCTGGAAGCCAGGCTCCCATGTGGGAGGCTCCTCCAGGGAAATGCAGGCACCTTATGGACCTCTGCACGAACCATTTGGGCACCTCGGTACCCCAGTTATTCACAAAGCTTTATTGGGGCCCTGGTATAGGTCTTAGCCCTGTTCTGCGCATTATTAAATACAGGGTGGCTAGGACAGTAAGGCTGGCCTCATGGAGTGTCTGGGTGGACAGGAAGACATGGTTGTGACCAAATGCTCACCATGTCCCCCTGTACTCTCCTGGACAGCAGACACTGAGCACTACGAGGCCTGCGGTTAGTGAGTGCAGCTGGGCCTTATGAGACAGGCCAGATCTCTAGAAGGTGAGTTTGGAGGACGAGTAGACTGAGGTGAGGTCAATGCTGGGGGCCAGGAAAACAAAGGCAGGAGCCAAGGGGTGTGTGGGAAGGCAATTAGGAGAGACTGACTGGACCAGACTGGAGGGGCACCCCGAGGTCTGCTTCAGCCTCCAGAATGAACCCACCTCAGCCTGAGATCAGTAGGCAGCTGGTGCCTTCTGCTTGTCTGCTGGACACTATCCTGGGAGGGCATCTCCTACATGGACCCCCTCTGAGTCCCACCCCTCCCCCTCCCTTTCCCCAACTTTTGTCTCAGTGCCCCCACTACCAGATACACCCTACTAAGAACACTAGCACTGCACTGGGTACATCTGCTGCACAAGACCTCTTTAAAGTGTTGAAAAGCGAGGAAGTGACTTTGAGGACCAAGGTGTGCCTGATCCAAGCCATGGTGTTTCTAATAGCTTCATGTGTATGTGTAAGTTGGACACTGAATAAGGAAGAACAAAGAATTGATACATATGAGCTTCGATGTTGGTGAAGAATACTGAAAGCACTCTGGACTGCCAAAAGAAGAAACAGCTGTCTTGGGAGAAGTACAATCAGAACGCTCCTTAGAGGCAAGGATTTTGCACACGCTGTCAGGAGAGACCAGTCCCTAGAGAAGGACCTCATGCTTGATAAAGTGGGAGGATAGCGAAAAAGAGGAAGACCCTTGACAAGAAGGACTGCCCTAGCGGCTGCAACAACGGGCTCAAACATAAGAACTAGGAGGATGGTGCAAGGCCAGGCGGTGTTTCCTTCTGCTGTACATCGGGCCCCTATGAATCGGAATTGACCAAATGGCACCCCCTTAGGAATGATGTAAGGAGAGCATTAGAGCCACCTTGGAAGGGGCTAAATTCCCAGCGCACTGCAGGTCTTTTCAAGAGCAAGGATGAACCCTGTCCCTGCCAGGGCCCAGGGCTCCGGACCTAGTAGTAGTCCTCACCCTCTTGGCTCTCAGTCTCCTCCTCCCGGAGCACGTTCAGGGACCACAGCTGGGGGATGCCTGTGGAGTTCAGCTGGTCTGCAAACACATTCAGGCAAAGGAGAGAGGAGCTGTGAATGGCTCCATTCCCCAGTGGGAAAGTCATGCATACCCGCAGACTCAGTTAAGGGCCCTACTCCCCACCCAGTTCGGGATCCCTCCTACCTGGTGTAAGCACTGTCAGGCTAGCTGGGGCCTCGACCTGACCCAGGGCATTGCGGGCAAAGCAGCGATAAGTACCCTCATCACTGGGACGCAAAGCCTGGATCTGCAGCCAGCCAGTCACTTGGAATCTCTGTGGTCCCCCCCTAAACTGGAGCAAGGGAAGGAATCAGTGGGGTCCTTCAAGGAGGGTGTTGGGCTGCCCCAGGGAGGTCTCTGCTCTCAGGCCCTACCTGCACAGAGATGTGAGGGTCATCCCCCGGTAACTGGATGTCCATGCCGTCTTTCCTCCACTCGATGGAAGCCATCGGGTAGGCAAACACTTCACAGCCAAAGATCACATCCTGCCCGGTCACGTTCCAAACGTCATGGGGTTGCGACACGATCTGGGGTTCTGGGGTGGAAGTAGGAGGCCTGAGAAGAGGACGGTTTACCCAGCCCCCAACAAAGACCCCATATACAAACCGCTGGAGACACTTGTGGGGTAATAGATCCTGAGGTTAGGTTATTGTCAGAGTGCTAGCTGCCGCTCAACCCACTGGCCTGGCCCTGCAAGGAAGTTGAGGCTAGCTGTTTCAGCTTCTGAGCCAACGCCGCAGACACTTTACCTAGCTTCCTTCCCTACTGATGGTGGTGAGTACACATGCATAAACAAGGCAGGGCATGGACACAGACAGGCACACACAAATGTTGACGCAAGTACATACGGGTACAAAAGCAGATAGGGAAATGGGCGCACACATTCACACACACAGCCGCGCAGAGGCAATGCACACCCAAGCGCACAGAACCGTATCTCAGTTTGGCATCACCAGTCTGTCCCTGAGTGCTCCCCTGTCCTCATTCTCCCCTGCGGGTCCCCCTCCTGCCTGGCTGCTAGCCAACACCTCCCTGCCGCCCCCCCCTCCCTCTTTTCTAACCAGGCCCGGTTCCCAGAGTCCTGCCCAGCCAGCGGCCCCTCCCCCACCCACTCCCTGGGGGCTCCACGTGGCAAATGCTGAGAATCTGAAACCAGCCTGGGCGCCAGGCAGGAAGCCTGGAGGAGGGGAGAGGAAGAAAAGTGTTGGGACCCCCCGCGGGGTGTTTGCTTTCTTGGAGCTCCAGCCAGCCAGACCCCAGCTCAGGAAGTGAAAGTTACTGCTGCCTCCCGAGAAACCCAAGGCCCCAGTGGCCCAAAGCGCCGCTCCCCGCCAAGATGGGACACTAAAAGAAACCCCCTCCTTCACTAACGGCTAAACCCAGAAGGGGGCGGGGACAGGACACTGGGATTCCTCTCCAAAGCCACACAAACAAAAACCTGATTGCATCTCTCCGGAGCCCCCACCCCCCACCCCCCAGCCAGTCGGTCTGGGCTCCAGATGGTCTGGGGAAAGTCGGGGTGGGGGCAAGGGCAGGGGCACGCGGTGGTTTTCTTCTCTTTCTCCATTTAGAGGTCAGCCAGTGGCTATGTACCTGCTCCCAGAGAGAGCTGGCCCCTGTACACCTAGTCCAGCGCTCAGGCAGCTCGATGCTCGAAGCTGACCTTGTGGGCTCAGGGCCCACACCTCCTGCGGACCATCAGAATCAGCGGTGTCAAGTTGTGACAATGGGTTCTTGACCTCCGGCTTCCTCTCTGGCCAGAGAGACCAATGCCCTTGGAATCCGGGGAGTAACAGTGTCCCAGTGAAACTCAAGTGCAGTAGGTAGGGGCCCGCGCCGTGCATACCCGACTCGCAGGGGCCCGGGTGCGCCACGGTGAGGTTGGCGTCAGGCTGAGCGCCGGCTGCCTCCTGCAAGCGGCAGATCTGTGCATAGGTGCGGCCGTCCGAGCCGCAAAGGGGTCGCTGGGAACGACAGGCACACAGTGGCTCCGGCACCTCGCCGCGGCTCAGGTCGCCGCCTGCGTCCAAACGGCATTCGAGCTGCTCGCCGCAGCGCCCGTAGAAGTGAGCGCTGGGGTCCAGGTCGCAGAGCTGCCCCTCGAGGTTGGCGCATTCCCAGCAGCAGCCGCACGCGTCGCGCACTCGGCCCGCCAGACAGCCCCGCGGCGCAGCGCACTCTTCCAGCCGGCAGGGCGCGCAGCCCTCGCCCTCCACCAGCAGCCGCAGCCAGCTGCGCCGCAGGTAATCCGGGCCAGGGGGCGGTCGCGCGCTGGCCAGGGCCAGCGCCCGCACCAGCAGCAGTAGCAAAGGCAGCGCCGAGGTTGCTGCGGGCGACCGTGGCATGGTTTACTGGAAGCCCTGCGAGCACTCGGGGCATCAGCACGGTCTTGACACCCTGCCAGGGACGGAAGCCAGGTCAAAAGGTCCACCTGTGCCTGCGCCCAGACGCCAACCTCCCTCCCTGCTCCTTGTACCACAGCCTGACCCTGGCCTTGGCCCTCTCCCTCTTCCACGGCTGGTTTCCTTCCCAGCTACCAGGGAATTGAAGGAGACCCTCAACACGAAGGCATGGACTCCCAGGCCCATCCTCTGATGCCCATGGCAATTTAACGGGCTGTTCCTGGGGGCTTGGGAGGTGAGAGGATGGAGCGGTAAATAGCACCGAGAGCCTGCACACCCACCACCACTTAACCCTGATGCTCCCTGCCTCCATGGCTGATGGGAGTGGCGGTTCTGGAGTTGTTAAGGGAGGTGGGAGATGGGAGTAGGCCGGGAGATGCTGGCCTGCGGTCTGGGGCTCAGGACTCTCACCTCCTGTTCAGGATTAGGCCCTTCGGAGCAGCGATCTGAAAAAGGGAGGTGGTGGAAAGAAAGCAGAGGCAGGCAGTGGGCTGAGGCCCCCACCCCTACCACCTCGGTTTCTGCTGAAAGATCTCTGAGAGAGCCCACGGACGGACGGGGACTCCGAGAGCAGCTCCTCCGCCCCCTCTCCCCGCCCATCGACGTCCTTGGACGTCGCACACTGCCCCCAACCCCCTTGTTCAGAGGCTGCCAAGGTTTTGCAGCCGCACGGGACCCTCCGGGGCCACTTCCCCTTAACCTGGCTCCAAGTCAAAAGAAGCGCCGAGGAGCGGTAACCGTAACCAGACACCGAAATTAAGAGAGAAAGAAAAGGACTAGGACCAGACGGGTGGGGGTGGGGAGACTAGCAGCCAGGCCCTGCCCCATCAGACTTTCCGGTCCCTGGGGTCAGCTAGAGTAGCTACAGAATGGGGAGGTACTAGCAGCCCCGGTGCCATATCTTTTTAGGTCGACGGCTAGACAGAATCAGTCAACGTCCTCTCCCCACAGTCCGGGTCCGACTTCCCGGGGGGGGGGTGGGGGCGGGTTGCTGGCTTGCTCCGGCATCTCCCTCCTCTCCGGGGCTTCACGTCCACCCCAAGGCACCACCCCGAGATTCAGCTCTTACAGCTGTTTCGCCACAACTGGCCCCTTCCAGCCTTCCCACATCCGGCAGGTGCTTCAGCCAGAGGCTGAGCCCAGTGATTAGAAGTCGGATCCGGCTAGCGGCCGCAGGGGAAGGCGGGCCGGGTGCCTCCCCAGCGGGTGTCGCTCCGGGTCGGGATTACAGGTTAAGGCTTGTTGGGCTGGCAGGGGCCGGAGGCACTCCATCACCGCTGCCCCCACCAGCGCCACCGTGGCACTTTGGGGTGGGGGCTGGGAAGAAAGTGTTCCTGGACACTCGCCCACCCGAGCGGGGGTCGGCCAGGCCACGCCCCGGCCTGCCCCCGAGGGTTCTTCCGAGGCCCCACGGCCCGCGGAGCCCAGGGTTTGTAGTCGGTGCGAGAACGGTTATTTAGCCAGACTCCGCCCCGGAGGCCCGCCTCCAGCCAAGTCAGAAGCCGGGGCGGGGCCCGGCCTTGGGACCGCCCCCTGGGGGTGGGGCTCCGCATGCGTACGAGAGCGGCGCGCAGTTAGCTCCGGCGCGGCGGCCTGCGTCCCTCGGCAGAGCGCCCCGGAACTGGACCCGGCCCCCTGGTGGTCGAGCCGCCCAGACTCCGCCCCCCGCCGAAGGGTTTCTGAACCCGGCGGGTGAGGCCAGGAACGCTTTCTCCCCGGCTTCCGAAAGTCTGCTGGGGAGTCGGTTCGCGAGCTTCCCGCGGAACCTTCGCGAGAGTCCGAACAGGAAGTCAAGACCGAAAAAGCCCGCGGGTTTGAAGCCGGGAGAGTAGGCGGAGCCACGTATGGCTGGTACAAACCAAACCTCCTACCCCCGAGTTGATTTCGACTCAGAACGACTGAATAGAATGTCTCTGAGGCTGTAAGTCCTGATGGGAGCAGAGAACCTCACCTTTCTCCTACAGAGAAAGTTAATCCACCGCTTACCCCGCTCCGCCATCCGCACTCCTGCCGCTGATAATTGTGGGTCCGTCGGGGTCATTGAAGTATCAGCCTGGAGCAGAGTGAGCTGTGAGAAACTGTCAGCACTAGAGGCCTGTTGTTGACGGTGCTGCCCGGTTGGTTGCAGCTCATACTACAGAAGAAAACACGGCCCAGCGCTTGCTGTTTGAGCCCATTGTTGCAACCATCGCGTCTATCCATCTCCTTAAGGATCTTGCTCTTTGCGCTGACCTTCTCCAGGGACTTGCCCCTCAGGATAGCACGTCTGAAGCACACCATCCTTATCTCTTAGGGGCGTTCTTCGATGTATCCCTTTTAAGACAAAGGTGTGCGTTACTCAATATTCTTCAACACGCCAAACTAAGAGGGCACACTATCAACCAGTCAGAAAGGGAGCACAATAGGAGGTCCTAGATGTGGGTGGGGTTGGGGATATGGAACAAAACTGAAAGTCACCTGAAAGACTATGCTTACTGGACTGATAGAGACTGGTAGAATCCCTTTGACTATGACTCGTAGTCACCTTCTAGCCTGAAAAGGCACTCATGTAGTGGTTCAACTCTTAACCAAACAACAGGCCCATAAGGTGAACACTAATGCCAGGGGAGTGTGTACTAATCAATCACATGAGACCCAAAGGGCAGCATTTGTCCAAGAAAGAAGTTCAGAAGACAGGAAGGGATAGGAAAGATGGAAGAGTGGAAATGAGAAGGGGCAGGGGAGTTGGAAGAGTGCTGTTAGATTGTAGCGATTGCAATCAATGTCAAAAGCAAAATGTGTATGAATTGCTGAATGGAAAACCAACTTTCTCTGTAAACGTTCACCCAAATCACACTAAAAAAAATTTGTTGTTTTTTTTAAGCCCTGAAAAAAAAGGTAATCAGTTAGCCTCATCAGTCTAGACTCATGACAAACCCCTTACGTGTCAGTAGAATTCCATGGCATTTTCAATGTCTGTGACCTTCTCTGAAGTAGATTATCAGGTCTTTCCTCCAAGATACCTCTTGATGGGTGTGGAAGTTACATAATCTGGTGCCAATTTGAGACTATTAAGAGTGAAGTTTAACCTGTCAATCAGGTTGCAGCTTGATGACCTTATTTGGAGATGCTAAGGAGATAAATAGCTAAATGGAGGTGGGACACACTCTCCCTGTAAGACATTCCTGATGACAAGCCACATGGAGCTAAGCTGAAGGTGGCCAGGGCCCTGGAGTTGGAGGAACCACATGGAGACCCACACCAGCCCTGAGATGCTTCCTCTGCCACTGGATTCATAAGACTTTGCACCCATTGGCCTGTGATCTTCCTGCATTCACATTATTGCATGCTGTGTGAGTCTGAATAAGAACTGATAGACTGGTATCGGACATATGGGCTACATCAGACGTAGGGACTTGATCTCGACTGGCTGGGATGTTTTCTCAATATTCACTTCTCGTATATAAAGCTCTTTCTTAGACACATATGAATCTCCCTGGATTTGTTTCTCTACGCAGACTAACACAATGGGTTTGAACCACCTACCTCTCACAACACTTATTTGTGTGCCACCTAAGGACTTGAGAGGAGTGTTGTTGTACTGTCCAGTTGATTTATAGTGATGCTTAGTGACCCCATGTGACTGAGTAGAATTGGCCCCTAAGGTTGCCAGGCTAAGACTGGGCAGGCTTTCACTCTGTTGCACATGGGATTTCTGTGAGTTGGAACTGCCTTGGTGGCACCTAGCAATAGCAGCAATCTCGATGAGAGCAGATCCAGCTCTTTTATTCCCAGCGTCACTGGGTGTGTCCATCCATGTTGACTAGAAAAACAAATCCAGAGACACTCATCTGTGTGTGAGAGAGAGTTTGATAGCCAAGAGTAAGTGTATATTTTAAAAATATCCTGGCCCAGTCCAGATCAAGTCCATAAGTTTGATATAAGCCCACAGTCCACTATTAGCCCATATGTCCCATACTCGTCCATCAGTTCTTCTACAGACTCACGCAGCACCTGCAATGATGCCGGAACAGGAAGATCACAGGCCAGTGGGTGAAACGCCTTGTGGAAGCATCTCATGCTGGCGCAGCTCTCCAGCGGCTCCTCCAGCTCCAGGGCTCTGGCTCCATCAGCATAGCTTCTGGTGGCTTGTCAACAGAATGTGAAGCAGAGAGAGTGCGTGTCCCACCTCCAGGGAGGAAGACGGGTTCCCAGAATCCTCAGGAGAAGGCCATGCCCACACAGAGGCATCACTGGCGATGGCCTGATTGACAGGCTAGACTCCACCCCTTCGCTCAGTTGACAGGAAATTATATAACTACCACACTGGGTGGGTTCAAACAACCGACCTTTGGGGTAGCAAAATGTTTAAACTCGACACCACCAGGGCTCCTGGACAAGGGGCAACAACACCACCACAAACCAATAAACCTATTGCCATCCAGTTGAGCCTGACCCATCGGGACCTTATAAGGCAGAATAGAACTGCCCCATAAAGTTTCTAAGCTATACGTCTTTACAGACCAGACCCATACATCTTTCTCCCACAGAGCAGCGGATGGGTTGGCACTGTGGCCCTTCCATTAGCAGCCAAGTACTTCCTGGCTGTGCCACTCGGGCTCCTTAGAAGGGATCCAGGTGGGGCTGGGAGGAGGGGGGGGCGAGGATCCTGGCAATGACAAAACTCTTGGGGGCAAAGATCATTCCCTGGGAGACAGTTCCCAATCTCCCCATCAATTACTAATAATGGGCTTCCGGAACAAATGAGTATTTAAAGAACGAACTCCATGGACCTGGAAACTTATTCAACTTAATTGTAACCTTTTTTTCTTAGGATCTAGGTTTCTGGTGCCTAACTCACCACTGTATCCTGTGAACCTACTCCTGCGTTAAGCACATAGATTTCCGGTAGATATTTGTGGATTCAATGTGAAAGACTTCCAGTGCATTAAGGTCAAGTTTAACCGGGATTCTGAGCCAGATGAAGTGGGTCCAATAGATGGGTTGTGAGCGCCCTCTGGTGAGAACATGGCTGCACGTAAAAAAAGATGAGCTAGCCCAGTGGTTCTCCACTTTCCTCATGCTGAGACCCTTTCTTTTTTCTTTTCTTTTTTTTAACATTTTATTAGGGGCTCATACAACTGTTATCCCAATCCATACACACATCAATTGTGTAAAGCGCATTTGTACATCGTTTCTCAAAACATTCTCTCTCCATTTAAACCCCCGACATTAGGTCCTCATTTTTCCCCTCCCTCCCCGCTCCCCCCTCCCGCATGAGCCCTTGATAGTTTATAAATGGGTATTTTGTCATATCTTGCCCTGTCCGACGTCTCCCTTCACCCACTTTTTGGTTGTCTGTCCCCCAGGGAGGAGGTCACACACAGTTCCATGTAATCGGTTCCCTCTTTCCTACCCATTCTCCCTTTACCCTCCCTGTTTTGCCACTCACACCACTGGTCCTATAGGGCTCATCCGTCCTGGATTCCCTGTATTTTCAGTTCCTATCTGTACCAGTGTACCTCCT